AGACATAGAGCTCCAGGGCCAGGGCAACCTGTAGAAAGGTACAGGGAGAGAGAGAGGACACACTACGGGAGAGGAGACACAAAGTTAGTAATGTGTAATGGTGGCATATAGAAGCATAGGGAGAGAGAGGAGAGGAGAGGAGAGGAGAGCAGGAGGGGAGGGGAAAGAAACTCAGAGCATCATGGGGCCCCCCAGCAGCCTAGGCCTATAGCAGCATAACTAAGGGAGGGCTCAGGGTCACCTGATCCAGCCCTAACTATAAGCTTTATCAAAAAGGAACGTCTTAAGTCTAATCTTAAAGGTAGAGAGGGTGTCCGCCTCCTGAACTGAGACTGGGAGTTGGTTCCATAGGAGAGGAGCTTGATAGCTAAAGGCTCTGCCTCCCATTCTGCTTCTGTGGACTCTAGGAACCACAAGTAAACCTGCACTCTGAGAGCGAAGTGCTCTGTTAGGATGATAAGGCTCTACGAGGTCTTTAAGATATGATGGAGCCTTGTCATTAAGGGCTTTGTATGTTAGGAGAAGGATTTTAAATTCTATTCTGAATTTTACAGGGAGCCAGTGGAGAGAAGCTAATATGGGAGAGATATGATCTCTCTTGCTAGTTCCTGTCAGTACTCTGGCTGCAGCATTTTGGATTAGCTGGAGGCTTTTTAGGGAATTATTGGGACATCCTGATAGTAAAGAGTTACAGTAGTCCAGCCTGGAAGTAACAAATGCATGGACCAGTTTTTCAGCATCACTTTGAGACAGGATGCTCCTGATTTTTGCAATATTGCGCAGGTGAAAGAAGGCAGATCTAGAGACTTAGCTTTTGTGTGATTTAAAGGACATATTCTGATCAAAGATGACTCACAGGTTCCTCACAGTAGTACTGGAGGCAAGAGCTATGTCATCTAAAGTAACTATATGATTAGACAGCAGATTTCTAAGGTTTTCAGGCCCAAGCACAATGACTTTGGTTTTGTCAGAGTTTAGAAGTAAGAAGTTGCAGGTCATCCAGGCCTTTATGTTTTTAAGACATTCTTGAAGTTTGACCAGCTGATCTGATTCATTTGGCTTCATAGATAAATATAACTGAGTATCATCTGCATAGCAATGGAAATTTATGTTGTGCTTCCTGATAATATTGCCTAAAGGGAGCATGTATAAAGTGAAGAGAATTGGACCTAACACAGAGCCCTGTGGAACGCCGTGACTAACTTCAGTTTGTGTGGAACATTCGTCATTAACATGAACAAATTGAAATCTTTCTGATAAATAAGATTTGAACCAACTTAGTGCAGTTCCTTTAATCCCAATAACATGTTCAAGTCTCTGCAGTAAGATGCTGTGATCAATGGTGTCAAAAGCAGCACTGAGATCTAAGAGGACAAGTATGGAGACAAGTCCTTTGTCCGAGGCTAGGAGAAGATCATTGGTGACTTTCACCAATGGGGTTTCTGTACTATGATGTATGGAAGCCCATTCCCGCCAGTTACTCCGACTTAGCTAAGTCGAAATTCCGACTTAGCTATGTCAGAATTTCGACTTAGCTAAGTAGAAATAACTAGATAGCTAAATCGAAATTCCGACTTATCTATGTCGAAATTCTATGGAAGCCCATTCCCGCCAGTTACTCCAACTTAGCTAAGTCGAAATTCCGACATAGCTAAGTCGAAATTCGGACATAGCTAAGTCGAAATTCTGACATAGCTAAGTTAGAATTTCTACTTAGATTTACTTAAGTCATTATTTCTACTTAGCTATGTCGGAATTTCGACTTAGCTATGTAAGAATTTCGACTTAGCTAAGTCGAAATTCCGACATAGCTCAAAGTATCTTGACGTAAGCCTGTCAACCGGAAGTAGTTATTCTTCTTCGTGTTTTGTCGCGGAGACTGAGAGCTGCAGCACCCTTTACCGTAGCGTAGCGTGCACTGGATAACAAACAGCCATTGGAATTCACTCAAAACGGACCCACGCCTGAAATAATCTTCAATTATTCCATCCATCTGAACTGTGTGGTGTGAAAGGTGCTGTAGCGTTAGCTCTCAGTCTCCGCGACAAAACACGAAGAAGAATAACTGCTTCCGGTTGACAGGCTTACGTCAAGATACTTTGAGCTATGTAGGAATTTTGACTTAGATAAGTCGGAATTTCGATTTAGCTATCTAGTTATTTCTACGTAGCTAAGTCGAAATTTCGACTTAGGGAAGTGTAAGTAGGAATTCCGACATATCTAAGTCGGAATTCCGACTTAGATATGTCGGAATTTCTACTTAGCTAAGTAGAAATAACGACTTAGAGCATTTTATTTCTCATTTAACTGGCGGGAATGGGCTTCCATACACATGCACTAATAATCTAAACACAAGAGCAGGTTTTACTAGTGTACCAAAATCACAAACCGCAAAAATACTCAGGCTGTCAAATCAAAGTAATTTCCACATTAACTCTGAACACAAGTAGAAAACACCAACAACAACAGATCTACACATCTACTAGAACACATCCCTCCACCACAACTCAGCATAGAACTACTAACCAGGAAAAAAGAAAAGGGAATTTTGTCAGAAACCAATAACTGGTGGACCCAAATGCAAAACACATGATCAGGTTGGCAAGGTAGTGAGAGGTTTTAATGTCAAAAATACAGGGATGTACTGCACAGAAAAATGGTGGAGGGGATCAAGAGGCAGTAACAAGCCACTATTTTACTGTTACAAGCTTGAGGCAACCAGGCGGCGCAGGCAGGACCCATCAGGAGGATGGGCAGGAAGCCGGCACCAGAGGCTTAACCTCCTGGGAAGGCAGGCAGGAGACTGGCAGCTGAATCAGGACCCCTTGGGAGGATGGCAGGAGGCAGACAGGTGGTGTTGATATTGATCCATCATGACACATGAACAAGGAAGGCGACATTGCTGCTGACCCACCAGGACACAAGAACTGGAGCAATGGCATTGCTCTTAACCCACTGGAGTTGGCATGGTGTCTCCAAACCCCCTGGGAGCAGCAACTACAGGGAAGTCATTGTCAACCCACTCAGGGACAGGAGCAGCGATGGCTTCGACACTGTTGACCCCCTCGAGGACATGAACAAAGGCAGCGTCAGGACCCTGGACCCACTCGGGAAGAGGAATGAAGGTGGCTGTGCAACTGTTGATCCACTCGGAAACAAGAACTGAGGTGGCATCAGAATCGTCAACCCACATGGGAACAGGAACATAGATGTCATCAGAGTCTTCACTGACCCACTTGGGAATGGAGACAGAGGCAGAGAAGGAAAAAAAAGAATGGCAAGAAATTCATTGTTGGTCCACTGGGCAACATGAGCAGAAGCAGAGCCAACATCTTCACTGACCCACTTGAGAACAGGAGCAGGGACTGTGTTGACCTTGTTGACCCATTGGGGAACAGGAACAGAGGTGGCATCAAAGTCATGGATCCATCAGGGAACAGGGACTGAAATGGTGGCATTGTCTTCATTGACCCACCAGGGGAAAAGGAAGAGGTGGTGTTACCTTCATCAACCCACCAGGTAGCAGAAACTGAAGTGGTGGCACTGGGGAACAGGAACTGAAGTGATGTCATATTTGTGAGCGAACTGAGGAACATGAATAGGAGGGATGAGCTTGTCAACATCCGACAGCTCCGCCTGGACATTTTTTCCCAGATTTTCATCAGTGGTGGAAGCTGTTTGAACATTTTAGCTGACGGAGCAGTAGCTGTTTTTAGGACTTGGACTAGACGCCAGAGGGGGAAGAGAGTTGGCACCCTCGTAACATTCACCAGGGACCTATGCTCGGATCCCATTTGTGGACTTCAGTTCAATATTTAACACCATCGTCCCAGACATCCTCTATTCCAAACTAACCAAGGTGACTGTGCCTACCCCAACCTGTCAGTGGATCACCAGCTGGGGAAAATAACATCCTACACCTGG